GCAGGCTCCAGGCTCTGAGCTGTCAGCACAGAGCCCGACGCGGGGCTCAAACCCATGAGCTGTGAGATCATGACCTGAGCCGAAGTCAGATGCTCAACTGACTAAGCCACCAAGGTGCCCCCAGACTGTCTGAATTTAAATTCCAGCTTCAGTACTTACTTACTTCATACTTCATACTTTGGACAGTTCATGCCATTCCATCTGTTAAATGCAGCTAATAGTACCAACCTCATAGGGTTGTTGTAAGGATATCAGTTAATATATGTGTCATCTTGAAGTGCCTGAGTGGCTTAGGCTGTTGAGTGTCTGATTCTCGATTTCAGTTCAGGTCATGATCCCAGAGTTGAAGGACTGAGTCCTGCATCGGGCTCTGTGCTAAGCATGGAACCTACTTAATATTCTCTATTTCTCTCCCTCTGCCCCTGTCTCCTGCTCACACTCACTCTCTCTAAAAATAAATTAAGTAAATATTTGTATCATCTTTAAAAATGTCTAGCACATAGAAAACTCTTCCTGCCTACAAAAATACAACTTCTTCATCAGACATTTAACATATATTATTTAAGCACCTGCCACACACTCAATTAGTCATTGAGGACTTAGCAATAAACAAGACAGAATTCCAGCCTTTGGGGAGCTTATACTGTAGTGGAAATTGCAGAGAAGTACACTACAATGTGATAAATGCATGACAGGTATGGGTTCAGGATGTACTAAAGGCCTTATCTTACGGAGTCAGGGGAAGCTTCATGGAAGATGTCATATGTAAGCTGAGAGTTGAAGGAGGGAAAGGAATTAGCCTGTTGAAATGGGTGGTAAGACAAGGGTAGGAGGTGGGGCTTGATGATAAGAACAAATTGTAGGTCAGTAAACTGCACCTTTAAGGTCAGTAAACTGCACCTAAAGAAAACAAGTAAGCAAGAACTCTGCGGAGGGTTTGGAAAGCATTCAGGATGGGTCTTCTCAAATCCCACTGCCTTTAGGCATCTTCTCAGGCTACCTCAGCCAATTTTTCTCATTCTTCTGACTTTCAATAGTGATTTGACTATAGAGTGTAGGTTTTACATTGAGAAGAAATTGCATTAAAATAGTTTGGGGAGGTTTGTTTGGGGAAGAAGTAGAGATAAGATGGGGGGAGACCAGAATCTGTCATGAATTAAATTTAAAATTTTGGACTTTTTCCCATGGATGAGTAGAAAACACAAGATATTTAGGATGGGTTCTCCTAGAAAAGGAAAATTCAGAGAGAGAGAGAGAGAGTGAGCTCATGTGCAAGGTTTCTGGGAACTGTGAGTTCTTCCTTAAAGATAGAACTTTGAAGGGGAAGAGATGAGACTGAAAGAGAAGGTAAGATCCAGATCATAAATGAAGACCATGGTGTTTAGACATTTTCCAGTGAGCAGTTGGAAGTCGTTGACAGATTCGATATGGGAGACAATTAGATAATGAGAAGCAAATTTAGCAATTGAGAGAGTGAACTTGAGGGGACTAAGTCTAGAGGCAAGGTACCAGTTAGGAGGGTACTGCAGTAGTAGTCCAGGTAAAAGGTGATGAAGCCAGCAAAGAGCAACAGGAAGAAGAGAAGGAAAAGAGGGGAAAGCTTTGACAAATATTATTGGAGTAAAAATTGGCTGGACTTGGAGACTTATCAAATATGGTGAGGGTCTCCTATGGAGTAGGAAGAGTCCAAAAATGTTGCTAAAATTCTGGCTAAATACAAGAGCAGTAACAGAAGAGGAGGAAGATTAGTAATAAAATATTGAAAAATCAAGCTCAAGGTGCCTCTGAGACATGGACGTGGGTGTGTGCATTGACTGATAAAGGGAAATCCAGGGTTGGTATCTGTGGACATGGGAGTCATTGATGCATAAGTGGTGGGAGTTAAAGTGGTACAAGTGGACGTTTTGCAGGTAGCATTCCATTTTCTGTGTGCTAAGCACTGTCCTGAATGCTTTACATACATTGTTCCATTTAATTCTTTTCTTTTTATTTTTGAGAGAGAGAGAGAGACAGAGCATCAATCGGGGAGAGGCAGAGAGAGACAGAGACACTGGACCCAAAGCAGGCTCCAGGCTCTGAGCTGTTAGCACAGAGCCCGACACAGGGCTTGAACTCAACCATGAGATCGTGACCTGATCCAAAGTCGGATGCTCAACCAACTGAGCCACCCAGGCGCCCCTTCATTTAATTCTTATAACAACTCTATGAAGTTGTCATTTTACAAAGAAAAAGAAAGTGTAATATAGGAGAGTTAAGTAGTATAAAAAAACCCCAAGGCTGATAAGCGACAAAGTCAGGAATGGAGTAAACTATCTGACTTAAAACCTGAAATCTTAAAACATCGTGCCATGGGTGAATTGAGAAGAGTGCTCAGGAGAGAACCCTGGGGAGCTTCAACATTTAAAGGAGGATGGTCATGGATGGAGCAGTCTATCTGCACATATATGTAGATATTTGCATATATGGAGAAGGAACCAGAGAGGTAGGAAAACCAGGAAGGTGGCTGTGACAGAAATGGAAAGAGGAATTACCATAACATTACCATAACATTGTGCCAGAAGCCACAATGAAATAACATTTAAAATTTTTTCATTGGGTTTAATAATTTGGAATTTACTGGTAACCTTGGTAATTGCTGTTTGGTGGCAACATAAATGAGATAGCATAATTTGTGTAAAATTCTTAAGCATAGTAGATTGTATATTTGAAGCACAGCAAAAAAAAAAAAAAAAAAAAATCTCTCGTATAGTTACAGGAGTTAAAGTGGAGACAGTGAGGACTCTTTTAGATACCTGAATCTAAAAGATCTTAACTGACTCAGGTAAGTTGATTTGGTTGGGTTTAAATATGGATACATTTTTTGAGAAAACAGAATTTCCATCTAATGACTTCTGCTTTCTCTGTAGAGTAGCATATAAACTTACCTGTTGAGAGTGAGAAGGAATGTGGTGAAACAGGGGGCTTGAGAAGAGTGGTAAAAATTTGAAATCACTCTTAACAGATGAAAGAGGATGCTGATTAAGAACATGTGGAAGCAGGGGCACCTGGGTGGTTTAGTCGGTTAAGCGTCTGACTTTGGCTCAGGTCATGATCTCACTGTTCTTGAGTTCGAGCCCCATGTTGGGCTTTGTGCTGACAGCTCAGAGCCTGGAGCGTCTTCAGATTCTGTGTGTCCCTTTATTTATGTCTGTTCCTCCCCTGCTCATACTCTCAATCTCAAAAATAAAGATTACCAAAAAAAAAAAAAAGAACATGTGGAAGCACTGTAGCATTGTAGTGGCAAGGGCCCAGTTGAAGGAGATTAAATTTATATGGTTTCAGTCCTCCTGATGGATGGTATGATTTTTCTCCAGCACAATCCAGGAGCAGAAATAAAGGTGCAGTAAAGGTATTTAGATTGATCCAGATTTAGGATTTTGTTGAATGCATGTGATCGAAAGGCTAGATTAGGGAAGAAAAGGAAAAGAAAATGAACGTTTTTTATTTTTTTAATTTTTTTTTAACGTTTATTTATTTTTGAGACAGAGACAGAGCATGAACGGGGGAGGGTCAGAGAGAGAGGGAGACACAGAATCTGAAACAGGCTCCAGGCTCTGAGCAGTCAGCACAGAGCCCGACGCGGGGCTTGAACTCACGGACCGCGAGATCGTGACCTGAGCCGAAGTCGGACGCTTAACCGACTGAGCCACCCAGGCGCCCCGAAAATTAACGTTTTAATAAAGGAATGGTTTAAATAATAGATCAAAGACTGTGGAATTGATAGAGAAAAAATTGAGTAAAAAAAGTGACTAAAGTTAGAGAAAATATAGAACTTAGATCTTGATGAACAGGTAGAAGGGGAGTAGGAGGCTGTGGTCAGAAAAGGGGATTTTAAAATGCACAGAAGAGTGGTTCTTGGAGGTCACTGAATTTAAGATAAGATATTGAGAGACTAGAAAATGTGATGGATCATCCAAAAGGACATTAAACTTGTCTAGGATATAATGAAACTTGGGGTGGTTTTGCTTGAGGTTCTAGAAGGCAGATTGATTTGGCCTTTGAAAAACTTGATCTAGGTGTGTGGTCAAATTACTTATGTCCTAGGACCTAGTGCTGTAAGTAGCAGATAGCAGGATTTAGGTGTATCTGAGTAGTATGTGGACTAGTTGATTAAAAAAAAAAAAGAGTCTATCTACAATAATAATGTAGAGGAGGTTAAGCAGTTTGCCTAAGGTCACATTCTGGGTGGTTCTAAAGCCCATACTCTTTCCATTAACCCTGGTGTATTTGGAGTTAGCTGAGCTTCCGGAGAACAATTTCATTTTAGCTTCTCCAGAGATAATGAGGTTTTTAGTGCCAAACATCTACAAAGTGAAATGGAAATCTACCCAAGGAGCACCTTGAACAGAAAATTAACCTGAAGTAGTCAAGGTTTTTAGGTACCAATTTCAATAAATTGATCCATTAGTTCATTTTTCTGTTTATCTGTTATACACCCATATAATAGTTTACACAGTTTGAGAATACTGTATTTAGAATAATTGAACTAAGTGTAATTTGACTCATTTGGTTTAATTTATTGTCTTTTGTCATTTCTAGCTGCCTATCCCCACCGTTTGAATCTCTTCTACCTTGCTAATGATGTCATCCAGAACTGCAAAAGGAAAAACGCAATCATTTTCCGTGAATCATTTGCTGATGTCCTTCCTGAAGCAGCTGCTCTAGTGAAGTAAGTAAATTCTTACTGCTTTTTGGGATCTAAGCTTAGAAAATTACAAATTTTAGTTCACCTTTTTACCTGTTAGTAAGAATTGTTAATAATTCTACATGCTTAAAGACCGAAGGATATTTTGCTCAAATTGTTCATGTAACTTTCCCACTAATACACATATTTTTCTTTTAAACATTCTTTCTTCTCTCTCTCTTTTTTTTTTTTTAATGTTTTTATTTATTTTTGAGAGAGAGAGAACAAGTTGGAGAGGGGCACAGAGAGAGGGAGACAGAGGATTTGAAGTAGGCTCTCCACCAACAGCTAAGAGCCTGATGCAGGGCTCAAACTCTCGAACCCTGAGATCTTGACCTGAGCCGAAGCCAGACCCTTAACCAACTGAGCCATCTAGGCGCCCTTCTTTCTTCCCTTTTTGAAAGCTTGTTTGTTATTTACTCTCTCCCTCTTTACTACCTTGACCATATATATCTCTTGGTCATATTCTTTGGTTGGGAGTACTTTCCAACTGTTTCTTCTGTTTCCATATTCTTTTACACATTTCCTTTCTTCTTTCAGTCTTTTTGAAATCTTGCACCCTCTATGACATCTGTGTAATTAAAGAGATATGGAAATATTTATTCCCAACCTCGTATTGATTTATTCTGTCCTTAGTGAAATTGTATGCAGTGTTTCCAAAGTATGGAATACTTAACATTTGATCTTACTTTTACTCTGTATTAATAGTGTTTTCCTGGTGTTTCACCCATATTTGCAAGTTGTTTATTCGGTTTAAGAGGCATACACACCCAACTGGAGGATAAACAATTATATGGAACAATCAAAATAGTTAAATATTAACTCAAATTATATATTGACTAGCATAGTATTATATGCTTGTATAAATAATGTGACTATTGCATATTACCGATCCATTTGTTAGTATTAACACATTAAAAACAGAACGATCTCTTTTCCTTCCTTTGGATTATTAAGTTGAGGTGTTTATTTTGGTCCTACTTGAATGTGCTGTGTAATACAGATTTATACCCACGTCAGAGTACATAAAATGGAGGTGCCTGGCTGGCTCAGTCAGTAGAGTGTGTGATTCTTGATCTCCCACAGTTTGTGTAGAAATAGGTTATAAATTCAAAATTGTTATACAAATGTTATTTGCAACTCATGGTGACTAACTTTGCAGGGAAGCATATTGAATTTTATTATTTCTTTTTACAAAATGAGAAAACTGAAGCCCAGTGCAGTTAAGAAATTGCCCAAAAGTAAAATGTCAATTTAGTAAAAGAGGTGAGAATAGAATTGAGATTTTTTTCTGACTCTTAGTCCCCTATTTCTTTCTTTTTTTGTTGTTAATTTTCTTTTTTTTAATTTACATCCAAATTAGTTAGCATATAGTGCAACAATGATTTCAGGAGTAGATTCCTTGATGCCCCTTACCCATTTAGCCCATCCCCCCCCCCACACTCCCTCCAGTAACCCTGTGTTCTCCATATTTATGAGTCTCTTATGCTTTGTCCCCCTTCCTGTTTTTATATTAATTTTGCTTCCCTTATGTTCATTTGTTTTGTCTCTTAAAGTCCTCATATGAGTGAAGTCACATGATACGTGTCTTTCTCTGACTATTTTCTCTTAGCATGATACCCTCCAGTTCCATCCACGTAGTTGCACAGGCAAGATTTCATTCTTTTTGATTGCTGAGTAATACTCCATTGTATGTATATACCACATCTTCTTTATCCATTCATCCGTCGATGGATGTTTTGGCTCTTTCCACACTTGGGCTATTGTCGATAGCACTGGGGTGCTAAACATTGGGGTGCATGTGCCCCTTCGAAACAACACACCTGTATCCCTTGGATAAATAACCTAATAGTGTAATTGCTGGGTCATAGGGTAGTTCTATTTTTAATTTTTTGAGGAAGTTCCATACTGTTTTCCAGAGTGGCTGCACCAGCTTGCATTCCCACCAGCAATGCAAAAGAGATCCTCTTCCTCTGCCTCCTCACCAACATCTGTTGTTGCCTGAGTTGTTAATGTTAGCCATTCTGACTGGTGTATCTCTTTGTGGTTTTGATTTGTATTTGTATTTGATTTGATTTGTATTTCCCTGATGATGAGTGATGTTGAGCATTTTTTCACGTGTCAGTTGGCCATCTGGATGTCTTCTTCAGAGAAGTGTCTATTCATGTCTTTTGCCCATTTCTTCACTGGATTATTTGTTTTTGTTGTTAATTTTTTAAATATTATTTATTTTTGAGACTGAGATAAAGTGTGAGTGGGGGGAGGGCAGAGAGAGAGGGAGACACAGAATCCGAAGCAGGCTCCAGGCTCTGAGTTGTCAGCACAGAGCCCGATATGAGGCTCAAACTCATGAACCGCAAGATCATGACCTGGACTGAAGCTGGACACTTAATAGACTAAGCCACCCAGACACCCAGCCACCTGTTACTTCTATTTTACAGTATAGTCCGCCTAAACTTAACTTACAGTTTTTCATTTTTTTAAATGATTATTTGAGAGAGAGAGAGAGAGAGAGAGAGAGAGAGAGAGAGAGAGCACCAGCCGGGGAGGGGGTCAGAGAGAATCCCAAGCAGGCTCCATACTGTCGGCATGAGCCCCACGGGGGCTTGATCTCACAAACTGTGAGATCACAACCTGAGATCAAGAGTCAGATGCTCAACCAGCACCCAGGCGCCCCTTTTTTTCATTTTTTTTTAAATGTCTTACTTACAGTTTTTCATCTTATAATGGCCCCTTAGTAATTTAAATTCTTGTCTCTACATTTCTTAGTTACCAGAGGCTGATTATTTTCCTGTTTCTCCCTCCTTTTCTCTCTGCCTTTAAATTTCCCATTATCATCTCTATTTGATGTATTTATATTATTATGATATTCTTCTAACTACTTTCTCAGTGTCTGATATCCTTTTCATTCACTTCAGGCTATGATGATTTAACACTATAGGCTCTGGAACGAGTGTACCTGGGTTTGAATCCTGGTTCTGCCACCTTCCAGCTATATAACTTTAGGCAATATAAATTAGCCTCAATTTAGGGGAGGTGGGAAGTGGGTAAGCTAAATGGGTATTAAGGAGGGTACTTGTGGTGAGCACTGGGTGTTGTATGTAAGTGAATGAATCACAAAACTCTACTACTGAAACCAATATTATACTAAATGTTAACTAACTGGAATTTAAATAAAAACTTGAAAAAGAAAAGTAAATAAAACTAGTGGGTTTCCACATCAAACCCATAAAAAAAATAAATTAGCATCAGTTTTTTTATCTGTATATTCTTATCTGTATAAATCTGCCAATAATAGTACCCACCCCATAGAGCGTGGGAACTAAATGAGTTAATATTATATAGAGAGAGTGCTTAGAAAAGCCACTGGCATATAATGAACACTTAATAAGTGTTAGTTGCTGCTGTGATGTTGAGGTTGACAATAATGATTACTCCTGTGATTATTATTAACAAATTAATGTTACCAAATCACTGTTGTGACCCTTCTTTTAAAAATATTTTTATATTAGTATATAATTTAACACATTCCTTTCCATGTTTGTTATTCTTTGACTCTCAAGCCAATTATATAATTAGAGGCAAAAAGTATTATCTTCATTTTGCAGATGAGAATACTGATAATAAATGATACAAAACTACTTTAAGATAGGAAATTGGGGACACCTGGGTGGCTCCGTTCTTGGGGCACCTGGGTGGCTCAGTCGCTTGAGCATATGACTCTTGATCTTGGGGTCATGAGTTTGAGTCCCATGTGGGGTGTAGAGTAAATACTTAAATAAATAAAACTTTGAAAAAAGAATGTAGAAGGTGGGTATGATTACAGATGTTCCAGACCATAAAAGAATAATAGGAACGGCTTTATTCCAGTGAATTTGGAAATTTAGACAAAATGGTTAAGTTCATCAAAAATACAAGTAACTAAAATGGCTCAAAGAAAAAATTGAGGACTTAATAATCCTATAACCACCAAATAAATTCGATCAGCAGTCAGAAATCTTTCCATAAGAACATCTCCCTGTTTTGCAATGGGTTTGCCACCCGAACACAAGTGTCATGAAAACCACCGCTAAAGCCAAGCCAGAATGGTAAAGGAGAGGGATTTATATCAACACTGGTTGTTGTTGGAAAACAAGTCTGCCACTGCTGGCCACTTGATCACAAATGTGATGGGATGAAAAATATGAGAAAGCAGCTGCTTTTATGGGAATGGGCTCCTTCAAGTACTCCTGGATCTTCGATAAATTGAAAGCTGAATGTGACCATGGCATCACCATTGATACCTCCCTGTGAAAATTAAAGACAGCAAGTCTTATGTGATCCTCAGTATGCTCCAGGACACAGACTTTATAGAAAACACGATTACAGGTACATCTCAGGCTGACTGTGCTGTCCTGATTGTTGCTGCTGGTGTTTGGTGAATTTGAAGAAAGTAACTCCAAGAATGGTCAGACCTATGAGCATGCCCTTTTGGCTTACACATGGGGTATGAAACAACTATTTGTTGGTATTAATAAAATGGATTCTATCAAGCCGTCCCACAGATAGAAGAGATACAAGGAAATCATTAAGGAAGTCAGCACCTAACATTAAGAAAATTGCTGGGGTGCCTAGGTGGCTCGGTTAAGTGTCCAACTTCAATCCAGGTTATGATCTCGTGGTTCATGGGTTTGAGTCCCACATCGGGCTCTGTGCTGACAGCTTGGAGCCTGGAGCCTGCTTCAGATTGTGTCTCCCTCTCTCTCTCTCTGCTTCTACCCGTCTCGTGCTCTGTCTCTGTCTCTCAAAAATAAATGTTAAAAAAATTTTTTTTAAAAAAATAGGCCATGCCCCTGTATGAATATTTTATAGCAGTTCTGTAACTCATTTTCAGTAGCTGTGTTAATGTGTTTGTGATTGCATTTTTTGGTGTGTTTTTTTGGTGTGGGGTTTTTTGTTTTTGTTTTTTTTGGTGATTGCATATTTTGGCATGAGATGATACTACT